ATGCACCTAAGGGGGCTCCGAATCTGGAGACTTATTCGGCCCTATGGTGTCATGCACCAAAGGGGGCTCCGAATCCGGAGACTTTAATTGGCCCTAAGGTGTCATGCACCCAAGGGGGCTTCGAATCGGGAGACTTAGTCGGCCCTAAGTTGTCATGCACCAAAGGGGGCTCCGAATCCGGAGACTTAGCCTGCGTTTGGTTGTGTTTTGTAAATGTGATTTGAGAGTATGAGTTGTATTTTGAGTTTGTGGGTTGTAGAATTATGATTTGAGTGTAGAAAATTTGTTTGGTTATGGTTTTTAAATAGAGTGTTGAATTGTGTTTTGAAGATGTATTTTGAATTAAGTTTTGAAAGTTTGATGTGACATGTGAAAGGTGAAAATTTGTTTGGTGATGTGTTTTGAAAATAGTTTTCAAAACTTAATTCAACCAATAATTTATCATCAAACACACAACTCATATATCGATATCCATATTTTTTTTATCAACAATAATAACCAAACTATTTTTAAAATACTGAAATTAAAATTGATTTTTTTTGTCAATTAATTTTTTTTAGTAATTTTTTTGAATAATTGTTTTTTCCAAATAATTTTTCCATTTTAAAATAAAGGTTCAAACAGTTCTCTTCGTGCATAATATCAAACAGTTCAAAGTAGAGAAGTTGGCAGGAAGTGATGACCGGTGGGATGACTTGGGGGATGACCGGCCGGGTGTCCCAGGTACTGCGCCTTAGGTTCTCTTCGTGCAAAGGTTTGAACAGTTCGGAGTTTAAAATACCAACAGATCTGAAATGAAAAAAACTCGTCTACAAATTCTTAGAAATCATTTGGGAACTGATTTCAATTTCTCTGAAATCATTTATACATAACAGATGAAGATTGATTTACCAGATTAGTGGGGAAAAGGTTGAAACAGTTCAGGAAAATCGGAAAACATCTGAAACAAAAAAAATAGTCGGCTACACTTCTCACAAAAGATTTGAGAACTGATTTCGACTCGTCTGAAATCATTTGCACATAATAGATGAAGAATTTATTTACCAGATTAAGAGGAAAAGAGGAAGAAGACAGACACGTTGAAAGCGGAGAACTGAACTGCGAGATGCCAAACGGATTTTCAAATTGTAATTTGAATTAACACGCGGAATCAACTTTTGAACGTCGTATCCAAACGTCATGCGTGAGCTCACGTATTGAAAATTGATTTGAATTCACAACCAAACAGAGCCTTAGTTTGGCCAATCGTGATATCCACGAAGGGCGCTCCGAATCCGGAGACTTTAATCGGCCCTAAGGTGTCATGCACCCAAGGAGGCTCCAAATCCGGAGACTTAAATTGGCCCTAAGGTGTCATGCACCCAAGGGGGCTTTGAAAAATGAATGGAGCCACGAAGAAAAATGGTTTGCATTGCAAAAGTGAGATATATACAAGTATCAAAGCCCACAGGTCGGGTCAGTGATAGGGTTTTCATTAAATTTCTGCTTGTGCCGATTTGGGGGAGCCACGGATCTCTTCAATGCCATGGGCTGTCGGGAAGCACACAAGCTGATGATAAGTGCTTGGAATGGCCTTCATAATATGTATCCAGGTTCGCCCCATGATGACATTATACGGCGAAGGGAGCCACCCAAGGGGGCTCCAATCTGGAGACTTTAATCGGCCCTAAGGTGTCATGCACCCAAGGGGGCTTTGAAAAATGAATGGAGCCACGAAGAAAAATGGTTTGCATTGCAAAAGTGAGATATATACAAGTATCAAAGCCCACAGGTCGGGTCAGTGATAGGGTTTTCATTAAATTTCTGCTTGTGCCGATTTGGGGGAGCCACGGATCTCTTCAATGCCATGGGCTGTCGGGAAGCACACAAGCTGATGATAAGTGCTTGGAATGGCCTTCATAATATGTATCCAGGTTCGCCCCATGATGACATTATACGGCGAAGGGAGCTTTACGACCGGGAATTTACTTCGACCGTTCTGGAGCCCGCACGAACAGGTAGTATGATCTTCCTTAACGGATATTCAGGATTCTTATTAAAGCCGAACAATGGGTGAGGCGCCGGAGACAGATCTGACTCGTTGAGGTCGAGTTTGATAAAAGTTTGGTAATACATAACCTCTGAAGTACTCCCCGGGCCTACGAGAATGCGTTCAATGGTGAACCGATTTATGCGTAATTTAATGACCAACGGATCGATGTGGGAAGCTGTTGTGCTGCTAAGATCGGAGTCATTGTAAGTAATTGTTGGAGCTTCTTTGGGCCATTCAGTCGGAATACGTTGCTTTTGGGGGATTGGATGCGACTGAATTGTGTGCACGGTTGGGGGTGCAAGCAGGCTGTAGATCATATGGATCATGCCAAGTGGAGGTGAGTCCTGCCTCAAGGCCAGTGCCTTGGTTGGCTTTCCCTTTCTCACATACTGTTGCAGTCGGCCATCTTGCACCAGTTCTTTTAGGTGATCTTTTAATGCGTAACAACTTTCCGTTTCATGACCGTGATCGTTGTGATATTCGCACCGCTTGTCCCTTCTTCGCATGTCGGGCGATCTCACCATCTTTGACGGCCATTTGAAGAATGGAAGGTGTTGGACTTTGGTCATTATTGCAGTAATTGGTTCTGACAACTCTGTGTACTTCTTGTCAGCACGCCTCGAACGCCTGCTGTCGACTTGCAGTTGTTCATTCGTCCGGTGGGAGCATTGATCGCTTGATCGGCGAGTATCCTGCCTTTTGTCTCGTTTAGCGCGTTGCCGAGGTTCTGGGCTAGGAGGTGGCGCGGAACTTATTGGTTGAGCAATTTCAGGGAGGGCCATTTTGTTGGACATTTGGCCGACTTTTATTCTCAAGGTATCATCTTCCACTTTGCAATACTCTTCAACTTTCTTCATCAACGCCCAGACTGTTTTGGGGGGTCTTTTGGTCAGGGAACTGTGAAGAGGACTGTCAGGATGTAGTCCCATTTTGAAGGCGGTGATGGCCATAGAGTCGTTGCAAGCGTCGTCGACGAGGTTGAAACACTCCCAATAGCGCCGAATACGCTCTGAGCGTTTCTCCTGACTGAATCTGCATAGCCTTGAGAGAGTCGGCCTGTTTCGGCCGCACCTCGTTGGTGATGAACCTGGCCCTGAAGGATTTCTGTAATTGATGGAAGCTTTTGATCGAGGCCGGCTCCAACTTGTAATACCACCTGACAGTTAATGGCCCCAGGCTACTGGGGAATATTTGGCACATGAGGGCGTCGTTGTCTGCATGCAATGTCATGGCCTGCTTGTAGTGACGGATATGATCAGTGGAGTATGATTTTCCATCGTAAAGAGTGAATGACGGAGCTTTGAACTTCTTGGGCAGGGTCGCCCTTGCAATCTGTCGGACAAAAGGATAGTGCTGGTCCTCTTCGTCTGAACTGCTCCTCCTGCGCTTGTTCCTTGTATGTATACTCTTTTCGGAGGAGCTGGAAGTTTCGGATCGTCCCTTCCTGTTGAGCTCCGTGGTTAATGAGTTGGAGTCGCTATTGGTATCCTTTGGTCGGGCTCGAGGTCGTTGTCCACCGGCCTTCGGAGGTCGTTCGGGATCTTGGCACATGGCTTCTCTCGATTTTGCGACTTTGAGGGCCAAATCTTGACGGAGACGTTCATTTTCAGCGATCATGTTCTCCAGCCTTTGTTCATTCTGCTTTGCTTGTTCGATGATCACCTGCATTGTCTCTTGCGCTGAGGTCGTTGGTGAGTCGAAGTTCAAGGCGCGCCTTGCAGCGATGGTTTCTTTTCCGAGCATATTTGCTGGAGTGAGGTCATCTCCTTATGAGGTCTCGTCAATGGCTACCGGAGGATCTTTAGTCACGCCTGCTATGGATGTATTTGAGTATTCCCACAAACGGCGCCAATTGTGGAGAAGTGGTTTGGAAATACTCTTCGGATCCTGAGAGACGCTAGTGATCCTCAGCTAGTCACCTGAAAAGATACAAACACTCCGGTCGAGGGTGCCGAAATTAGCACTCCGACGGACAAGTTAGTTCAGACACTCAGGGTAGCTTCTTTACTAAGTTTTGTGAAGTGATTCTTACATACCTTTCTATAACCGTTGTTCCTGTATTTATACCTGTTCTTTTTTATCCTCGGGGCCAGGGCCTACTTTTTAATCATTGTCCTTTCTCTTATTCGACCCTAAGGACTTACACTTATTCGGCACATATATTATATTCGGCTCCCTACTCTCGTAGGATATAGCCGATTAATATAAGTCTTCCAATGGTACGTACCGTCTGATTTTTCTATCTATTCGGCCCCCACAGTGATCCTTATGTCAATTAGAATTCTGGATTGATTTGTTCTATGTTAAAGGTCATGCCTCTTCAGAAGTGTATTGTCAATCTGTCATAATATTTTGTAAATGTGAGTGTGAGTGTGTGTGTGTGCTTTTTTTCTTTTTTGGGGAAGGGAAGGGGAGGGGGAGGGGGAGGGGGAGGGGAGCCGAACTTTCTTATTCTGGGGTGCAGACAGTCTCTTCATTTTTTTGCTTCTTTTTCCCTAACATGACAACAAGTAATGATATCATAAGATTTAGTGTAATTTTGATGAATACATTGATTGCTTTTGTATAATTAATTTAGAGTTCAGAGACCAAGAAAAATTTATTAGATCTTAATGATTGTCATGTTATCAGTCAATTCATGCTGATATGTGGTTAGGTTTTGTTACATAGTTCTTTTGGAATTTTATGCACCCTAGTGCGGTCACTGCAAAAACTTGGCTCTAATCTTGGATGCAGTTGTTGTTTCATTTGAAAGTGATGCTGATGTTGTCATTGCAAAGATTGTAAGATCTATAACCCAAACTAGCTAAAGACTACTTGAAGAGATTTGTTGCTTTGTCAGTATAGGCGGTTATTTTCTACAAGTATTGTGCACCTGAATTATGTTTCAATATTACTCTCAAAGTACCTTTTCTTTAATGTTATTTCTGCCTTGCAAATTGAAATCGTTTTCTTCTATCATTTCTAGGTTGTAAGTTCATGTACTATTCATCTATGGCTTCTAAAACTGAAGAGTAAAATTCTTTTCCTTCAGGCTTTTACAACAATATATAGTAAAAATTATTTTTAATTAATCCTAGCTTGATATTTTGGCTCATCTATGTTGGTTTATTTCTCATCCATTAATCTACATTCTGCTTTTTGATTATTAATATGATTTTCTTATTTGTATCTTTGGTTATGATTTTTTTTGCACCCATACCATGAGATTTCTTTACCGTATTGAAAGCATTGGTTTGATTACAACTTACTAGTTTCATCTGCATAGATGTTGATCCTTTTATTTGTTACAAATTTTATTCCTGAATTGCTCCCACATTTTTGTACTTTCTAAGATGCCACTGCAAATGATGTACCAATTGATATTTTCAACATGAAAGGTTATCCAACATTGTACTTCAGGTCAGCAGGTGGAAATCAGTTGCAATACAATGGGGAACGTACCAAAGAGGATGCAATTGACTTTATTTAGAAGAATCAAGATAAACTTGCCCAGCAGGAAGCTGGAAAAGATGAGCAGCAGGAACCTAGAAAAGATGAGCTGTAGTGAAGGTATTTTTGTAAATATTACAATTTTGTTTATCATTTAAGGCAGTAGTGTCAGATTGTAATCAACAAAATGTAACATGCACTGGCATGCTGTGAATTGGGGCAGCTGTGTAAACTGGTTATTTGGGCAAATTTCTGGCCACTCCTTGGCCACTACTGTGAAGAAATTGATGTTTACTTGTGCTGTCTACTGTATCTGGTAGGAGAGAAACTATACGATTTTCTCATTTGCCCCATTTTCCCTTTGTTTGCAATGCTATGCTGGTACTTACTTAGAGATGTTGTAGATTGAGTGATTGTGAGCCACCTCAGTTAGGAGTATTGATTAAGATTCTTGAGAGTTGAGAGTGTTCTGTTTATGAGGGAATTTGAGCCCATATATGAGTGTTGAGAGATGTGAGACCTCCATATGCACGTATTCTTGCTCATTATCTTGCTTTGCAAGTTGTCAAGCTGGTCGCATGTAGGGAAGAGGGTTGAGATGGTGAGTCTCCATAACTATGCTCAGTTCTGTGGGTTGAGTGATGGTAAGCCACATAGTTTATCTAACTCTTCTTTTGCAGGTTGTCAAGTTGGTCTTAATTGTAAGGGAGTTTTTTTGTTGAGGATTGAGTGTTTGGCTAGCTCTCATAAATTGTTTGGAGTGTTTTGTGTTGCATATTGAGGGTTGAGTGAATGAGGACTAAATTTTGTGGGCAGTTTTTACCCAACTTTGTTTTATAAAATGTAAATTTGTCATTGGGGTTTGCTGGAACCTAAACAAACAGTATATTGAATCTGTTCAACCTCCCCATAGGCCTAATATCTGGTGATTGAACAGATTTCTTTTAGGCCTGTGAACATTTGCTTCTGGTTGTTTGCAACTGATTTTGTTGTTTCGAATCTGCTGTGATGGATTTCCTGTTGTTATACTGACTGTGTCCCCAATTGTTGTTCTACTGTTATGCTGGTGTAGACACCCCATTTTTGACCAACCTTAAGACTCAGACGTCACCAATTGAGCGCTCGGTGATAATGCATATTGTGCTCGTTCCGAGGTTTCAGAGTCACGGCTGCGAACCTTGCCTTCGGACTTCGAGGCTCTTTTGTGCTTTGCCTCGATTTGCAAACCAGGTCCTCTTTTCTCCGTTTTCTCTTTCCGAAGGAAGGGAGAGGTCTCGTAGACCATCTCTCAGTGGCCGTGGGCTACGTTTCGTGGCCGTAGGCCATTTTTCCCGTTTGGAGACTAGTTTCTGGTTTTTAGAGACGTCGGCCGTGTGCCTCAGTTCGGGACCGCTTAACTACCTCCGTTTGCTTGGATTTTTGGCACACACCTTGTTTCCTCTCTTTTGAGGGACACTGAGGCCCGGGAGACCACCTTCGGGGTCGCACGCCACTTTCGGTACCTAACAGCCTATTTTCGGGGCCCCGGGCTGCGCATTTTGGCCCTCGAACCCTCGTTTTGCATCAGTTAGGGTTCATTTTTGGTATGGACCCTATTTTCATTGTTAGGAAGGTGGTAGGATGGTGGGAGACCAACAATTCTTTTGAAAATTATTTTCTCTCTCCTCCATTCGATTTTCTTGACAGAAAGCTGGTTTTCCTCACTTTTGGACCTTAATTTCTGGTCTCCCATACCACCATTGTGTTGTGCTCACCTGGGGGGCCACCAATATGGGTAGGCTGACCAGCTTTTCTTCCTGACCCTTTTGAACCTTGCTAGAAAGTCAGTTTTTCTCACTCTTGGGCCACAATTTCTGGTCTCCCACCATACAACTGTGTTGTACTCACCTGGGAGGCCACCAATCTGATATGGCCGACCACCTTTTCAACTTGACCTTTTTGACCCCTGGTCGACTGACCAGGGGGAGTGGCCGGCCGACCACCTTAACTGGTCGGTCTGCTTCTTGCTTTTTGGTCTCATTGTGTGTAAGCCAGCTGTGCCAGCTGGAAGCCTCATAAGTGATCCTCCATACCCGTGTGTATGGAGGATCTTTGAACTTGGTTTGAAGCTTCTTAGAGAAGCTTTGGCCTCTCTTCTCTATAAAGGGAGGCCTCCTCTTCCATTGCTGGGGTTGAACCTTTTGGTTAGAGCATACATACACTTTCCTCCATATCTCTCTCTTCCAATCTCCAAAACCCCATAGTTCTTGCACCATTTTCACTACACCTCCTAGCACAACACCTCCACCATCCATCCAAGCACCTTGGAACCGATTTTCAGAGGTTGAAGGCGCTTTACCTTGGTCCAGAAGTTGCTGAGGGTCGGCTCTATAAGGGTAAGCCTCTATTTTCCCTTTTTTTGCATTAATTTGCTTCATATCTTGGCCCTATTTGAAAGCATTTTTGAACGTCAATATAAACTAACAAAAGTCTTGTTTTGAGCTCCTCTTCAAGTTTTTTCAAGGTCTTTTTTTTGTTCGGGGTCATCTACCCCCTTTCATGCTTCATTTTCTCATGCTTTGAGCCATGCATTTGAGCATTTGTGTTGGCCTTGGTTTGGCCTTTTAGCCAATGAAATCCAATGGATTTTTAGTGGCTTAGATGTGTTTTTGAGAGCTAAAATCAGAGAGGCATGACCCTCTCACCCCTTGTTCTCTTTACTAGCTTTATTGGCCTTCCAAAGGAGCTCCATTTTACATGCTTTGAAGTCTTGTTTCAGGCCATTATTTGTGAGTTTTAAGGTCTTCCTTGGCTCTATCCGGAGCCCCTTTGGCCATATTTTGTGTTTATGATGCATGTGTAGAACAACCCCATTCAAGGCCTTTCAAGGGGCCTTTATTTGCATGTTTCGTAGACCCATTTCAGGCTCTTTTTAGTGGGTTTTAGGACCCTCAGAACCTCTTTCCAGAGGTAGTTTTACCATTTGGTGTGTCCATCGTGTATGTGTAGAACAACCCCTTGTATGGCTTTCCAAAGGAGCCCATCATTCTTGCATGCATGGACTGAGTTTCAATGAGTATTTGGGCATATTTTGGCATGCCATGATACTGTTTTTAGCTGGTTAAGTGAGATCTCATATGCTTCATATAGGTGTAGTACAACTCATGGTTCACTAGCCTATGTTGCACATTGTTTTGGCCCATCATGTTAGCACTTTTTGGCCATGTCTTAAACTGATTGTGTGCTTATTTTGGACTGCCCTAGCTCTGTTTTTAGGTTTCATGGTTGAATGATGTTTGTTTTGCATGCTTGTAGTTCAATACCCATGCTTAACTTTGAGTTTTGAGGTCCATTCCATGCATATACTGAGGTGTGTTCTTGTTTTTGGTCCATTTTGCATCATATTTCAGAGCCTATATGAATGCTATATTGCCATGTTTTGCACCCCTTAAATGCGTTAGAGAGTCGGGCTTGTATGCCTCATTTGCCGACCATTGAATGAGCTTCATTTCGTTGCATTCTAAGCCATCATTTTAGGTTATTTTCCCACTGTTTCAGACCTGCCTAGGGTCTATTTGGTATTGGTTTTGCCACTGGTGCATTGCTTTGGGTACCTCTAGTGTAACGCACTTCACTAGTTTCGGTACCCGGGCCCCCCTGGCTTGCATTGTGTGCCATATTTGCATGTTTCGGGACCATATTTTATGCCATTTCAGAGCTGTATCATGTGTCATTTTATGCCATGTTTCATTCTTCACCATGCTTTGGTAGAGTGGCATTTGATGCCTTAGGATTGGTCCCTTGCATCGTGCATGTTTGCATGTGTTTCGGTTGTCTCATTTCCATCATTTGGCCACTGATTTGAGTGTGGCTGAGGTCCACTCATATTGGTTTAAGTCCACCTTGCATTGTGTATGCCATGTTGCAATGTGTTGTGCATGTTATGTTGTTAGCACTGTGTATGCCATGTCATTCCTCGCATTGTGTACGCTAAGTTGTTAGTCGCATTGAGTATGCCATAGGTTGTTAGTCGCATTTAGTTCATGAGCATTATGCATGCCATGTAGTGTTAGCATTGTATATGCTAGGTGCATGTTTGCATTTCATCCCTTGCACGTTTGCATCATTCAGTGGCATTGCATCTAAGATTGCATGTTAGAATTGCATTTATGCATATCATGCATATTACATTATTTGGAGTAGGGTTTAGTCCAAACACGGGAAACGAGGGACGTTTCGTACTCCAAGTGACGAAACGTGCCTCGATTCCTGGTCGTCGACGCTCCAGATTATCCATGATGGAGTTTAGGCCTTGTTGCCTTCATATGTGCATTCATTTCACATCGAGTCGTGCAATTTGACTTCTCGGCCATCATGCATCGAGATGCGTGATTGGTGGCACGAGGATCGAGGTCTACACTCCCTTGAGCTTGTGCAAGGACGAGGAGAGTGGTTTTGCACACATATGTTGAAAATACCTTGCTTTCTCTCCCTCTTGCCTTTGTTGCTGAAAAACCAGGATCCAGGGGCAGAAAGTGGTCGGCCGACCAAGTTTTCTAGCAAGCCGACCACCTTTTTTGGTATCCACCACAAAGGGTGGTCGGCAGGTGTTGCCCAAGTCAATAGCTAGTCGGCAGTCCTCCCAGGGTGGAGTTTCAGCCTCTTGGAGCCTTGTGCAAATTTCTAAAATCAGTTGCAAACAAAGGCGAGATGAGGCATCGCGATGGAATTTCCCGATGAGGCGACTTGAGCATGCATGCATCCATCGTCACCCAAAACAGAGCCGAGGCAGTCACATTCATGTAGTTTACATGCTTACTTAGCTAATTTGTTAATTAGTTACTGTTGTGTAATAATTAGTTGTAGCTTTTATTTATTCGAACTGTATTATTTATTCGGACCCCTCGAGGTGGGCAATGTTGTAATAAGTGCGCGTGTGTGTAATGTATGTCTTCCAACCCCACGTCTTTCTCCCTTTTATTTACCAGCTTATTATGGTTAGATTAGGGCATGTTTCAATTAGCATACTTATGATAGCATGTTTGCATTCATTCATCTGTCTTGCATGCACTAGGCTCGGTGCATCATACTAACTGCATTGTATTTCAATTCCGAGTTGAATACTTGCTAGTTGTAGCATT